ATTTACTTTTCTTCTTCTTCTGTTTATTATTATCATCAAACAAAGGAACATCCCTAGACATAATAAAGCCTGTGAACTTGAAGCGTTTGCTGAAAGGTTTTCGGATGAAGACTGGGAGTACCAATACACAGCTGGTTATGCCATGACATAGGAAAAACGGAGGAGCAGATGTTTACTGCGAACATTTCCAGATTGTGGCTCTAGGTGGTGACGTAGCTACAAACTTGGAGTGAAAAATCATTGGAATCAGAGTGACATTAATTGAAGAAAACCATAAAAAATGGTACTTTGATTGACCTCCTGGCTCAATGGCTATTCTGTCATTTGTAGTGCTGCAGATAGTGATGCCAGTGAAGTCTAAATATGCAGGTATCGTGCCAATCAAATAATAAAAAATGGGACTCAAGTAGCTCTCCGTTGGGCCTTTATACATTGTGGAGTTCATGGTAATGGCTGTGGTTCATAGTGATGACTGGAGAACACCTTTACTCATGTCCCAAACTTGGAGACATAAGAACAAATTTTCAAGATAAGAGCAGAATGTAAGTAAAAAATGATCAAATTAAATTGGCCTGCAAGAGAACGTTTGGCTCAAGTCAACTTAATTCTGGTCAAAAGGAAAAAGTCCAAAGTACTTAGAACAATAGTCAATGCTCCATATCAACAGGAACTTACATCATATTATCAACATTATATTTATTCTTAATATCATCCCATCCAGATTTTCAAACTTTCACCAGAACGTTATTCACCATCCAAATCCTTTAGCAACTACACCGTTCAACTCCTACCATACCTACTATCCTCTTCCAACGTTAAAACGGCAGTGGTCCAGACAACTTTTTAAAACATGTTACTGGAGTTCTGGCAATGATGACTAGCTTCTACGCCTAAGTCCTGGGAGGCAGTGGCTCCAGTTTTCTAGTCTTTATAGTTTCAGTCTCTACTGGCTCACGTGACCGGGAGATTAGATTTACTCAGCCTTGGATTTCTTGAAGTCCTGATTTGTCTTCCACATGTGTAGAACAAAGCATGGCATCGAGTCCACGAGGTGAATGTTAATATTTAAAAAGATGAATTTCATTTTTACTCCACTTTAAACAATTATTTTATTTGTTTGGAAAAAATATTTATATTTATTTCCCATTTGTATGGATATATTGTATGAATGAATTCTATTAGTCCTAATACTTGTTACCTATCAATGTGGTAGATAGTATTATTATTCAATAAAGTTAAGAATGAAAAAAAAGAAAAAGAACATTGTAGGCTGTTATCGGTGCTAGGTTAGTTATAAGGACTAGAAAAAAAGAAACAAATTCAATTCATTTTATTTTTCTCAAGAACAACATTTCCTTGTTAATTAAATAAACGAATATCTTTTTTTTCAGTTATAAAAAGTTCTTAAAAAAAAAAAAAGAAAAAGAAAAATAGTAATCACAGGTATTACTATTTTTCAAACAATATTAAGTTAAACTGTATTACTAAGTACAAATAATTTTATAGGTTGGTCTTTATTAAAAACACAAATAATTAAACATATGAATGTACAAACAGGAACGTACTTTATTTTTACATTTAGAACTTAATCTACCAATGAATAATTTAGTCTACTCTAGGTGGTTGAAAATAAGACAAGTGGCACTTTTCTACCAGACAAAGAAGGGTCTGGGGATATCTGGTTTTACTTGAATTGCTCTGAGGCTAGATAGTAAAGAATATTATATATGAAGTATAACTCCTGCATAACAACTAATTTAAAATATTAAAATAAAATAAAAATAAACCAAACATTTTTTTTTTAAATTTTACATCTGAAAAATATAATGAATAACATGTATGGGTCATTCTTATATTATTTGACCATTTCATGTCTCCGTTTTAACATTTATTTTAATAGTATTGTTATTATTTCTCAAACCAATGTAATCATAACAAGCAAATAAATCCATCTCAACTACAAGAAAAAAAAATCAATTTAAGTGTAGAATGAGTCACCTAGGTGAGGATACATCCCCGCCTCGTTGTTAAGTTAACGATTTTCTCTTCTGTTCCAGACATTCCTTTCTTTAACAGGTCCAAAGATTTTTCTTGAGGAATCTTTTCCTTCATCTGCCCCTAGTAAGGCAACACAAGGCATATCAGTTTCTTGTAAAGATGAATTTTGGTTTTATTGCCAAGAGACAAACTACTTTGTAGATGTATATATGGGCAGGATCGATAAGCATCTGTTAGAAGCAGTAATCCTTCTTCCAATTCCCAGGCTGAGGTTCTGACAATACTGTTCATTGTTGATGTTTGGAAAGTACTTAAATCCATTTGTTTGAAATACCAACTACCAGTCCAAAAGTAGTCTTGTGGCATTAAGGAGCTGGCTGGAGACATTTATGTTTTTCGACGAGGTGGACGTGGTTAATAAGTTCATCAAGTTTGGAAGGTTAAACTGGGCTTGCTATATCTCTCGATTCTGATGGATTATTTCGCTATTCCCAATATAACAAAACATATGTTATGAGACATGGAGGTTTCAGGACATTTATTTGAGATTAACCCTTCATATCATTCCAACATTTGGTTGGATAAGTAATAGCGACTTTTTATTATAACTTAACAAAAGTTAGCATGAGTGTTACTACTACTCTTGTCAATTTAATGTAATTTTTTTAAATAGTGTATACTACCAATTGATCAGATCAGTTTCATTATTACAAGAATTTAGAGAACAGCAGTCTTTGAATTGTTTTTCTTATAGGCATTGACAGGAGTGCTATAGAAAGATTTTGTTTTTAATGCTTCTTCTGATTACTTGAAATATTTATAGTTTCCTTTTTATACCCATTGTCATTATATCTTTCCGAATGTACTAATAAATTTTGTTTATTTAAACTAGAAGAATTAACCGTTACTTTATTCTATGAAACTAGATTTTGTTATAAAAGGCAATTTTCGTCTTTTGAAATATCAATGAAGTTTTAATATAAGAAATTCGTAATCGAGATTTGTTTTCTATAAATAAATTTTAAATGTTACTCATGTTACCTTTTATAGTTCTAATAAAAGAATTTAAGGTACAATAAGCAGATTGAAATCAATTTATGTATTAAGCAGGATGCAGTATTATTCTAGATTATATTTATCTATTTAGAAATTCTGATTTCCTATATGCTTTTTAGGCTTAATAATGAATGCCACGAATCATTTTACTGAGTCCTGCCTCATTTCTGTGTGGTAACACTCATAGTAAAATTGCATTTACAGATCACATTTTAAAAAAATCAAAAAGAATAATAATTTTTATAGAACCGACGAATGACGCACAATTTTGTTATCTTGGACACCTAAACTTATAATTTAGATAATTTTTTTCTATAATTTGATATATTTCTTGAACCGAAAATGATAACTGGTCAAATAATATAAGAATGATTCATATATATATATATATATATATATATATATATATATATATATATATATATATATATATATATATATATATATACATATATATATATATATATATATACGCCATAATTTTAAATACAATTTAATAAACTGGATATAATTACTTACAGTCTATTATAAACAAATACCTGGGTTAATGACAGTAATATTAAATTCCTCAGCAGATAAGTCCCCAGCCCTATTATTAAATGGATTCTCATCATACATAACAGACTAGTGATCTGAGTTATAAACAGAAATACTCATCAATTGAAATCGGACAGATAAATTAACCCAGCCCCCACATATAATGCAAATCGTTTCTACATCGTGGTTAGCCACTGGTGTAGAAGGCAGTATTTGCATATGTTGGGTGGAATTACTGAACAATGTCAGTTTCGCGTTGGGCGTTCCCGAGCTGTCTTCTTCCGCACTTCGAAGGGATTCGCTCTTGCTAATGCCCAATATTTGCCTACCATAGACAAATATGATGAACCAATTATAGATAAGGTTATTTTTTTCTCTAAATAATGGAGTTTAAAGGTCTAGCAACTTTAAATTATATATTGAAATTATTATCTATTGATAACTTTTTATTGTTCATTGGATTGATCGTTGTATTAATGTTTTCCGAGTAATTAATTAAACATTTGTTAACCAGACATTCAAAAATGTTGTCACTAAGCCTTCGTCTTTGAAGTTCACATAATATTACTGTTAAATTAACAATAAAAATAACAGAGATTGGATTCATAGAATTGGAAACCCTGAACAATTTTCACCGAAATTTTTCGTTTTTATTTGGTTGATACCGGATTTGTTTTGATAAATTAAAAAAAAACAAATTACAGAACGATAATCTCTTTTATTCAATAAATTCCAGAGTAAGTTCTGTTCCATGGGAACACATAGAAATAGTAATGGATTTAAAAAATAAAAAGCTTAACATTTCTATTAATTTAGAATGTATTATGTATTTCAAATGACATTTTATAATTGTTTTTTCTAGCCTACTTTGGCAAACATTTGGCCATTCATTTTTGTCAAAAAACATAGGTGTAGATGCCCCATTTATTCATTGGTCCTTTCACATTTCATACTATACAAACATTGGACAAGTTGTTTGACAAACAACTCGTCACTTGTGTGGAGCCGAAGTGATAAAGTTTGTAACAAGATTTGAGATAAATATAGTTGGTGTCTTGGTACGTAAAGGCAAGGCCACACTCGTCGCAAATATTGGCCAATGTACTGTATAATTTGTAGTAGCCAAAACCATTGACTTATGATTATTAAATATTGGACTCTTAGAGGTCGGCCTACACATTTGTCCAAGATTTGTCAATGTACATAGCCCACTGTTAGCTATTAGTGTGGCTGTACCTTAAGTGTAGTGCACCAATTTTAATTAAAGATTTAAAGAAAAAGTCTGCGACATAGAAAGTTATCGATTTTGACAAACCCCTTTTAATTTCTCAGTTCACTAGGTGAAAAATTAATCACTAAAACAGCCAACCACCTTATTTTGTGTCCGCATCTTTAGTAATTATTGGTGTTTACTCTTGATGAGTCCTCTTTTCTTGTCTATATTCAAAAATTATTGACTCCAATTCTTCCATCTCTTTCAGAGGAGGCTGGAATTCATTTTGTACACAGGAAACGCTGGACCTGTATTTTAAAATATTGTATCAAAATAACTTGATCCTATCATATAATGTAGGTTGTATAAACTTAATTATATTATGATATGTTAAATAGCTATGACACAATAACACATTTACTACAAAAAATATCACAATTTTGAAGGTTTTATATTTTTAAGCAGATGGTTCAGGTGACGGTAAACTAACTTCAGAAAATTATTTAAGCTATTTATTGAGTATCGATATATTTCCTCACATTAAAGAACTTCATCAAGGCTCTAAAGAGAAATGGGTACTTTTGAACGATGTGGTCTCTGGTAAACCTCCCTTCTCATCTTACCTTACGTCACCTTCTTATCTTATGTTAATTCACATCATAACCTGCCTTTCTATCTAGTGTAAGCGGTTGCGGGTGCGTTTATTGATTTGAACGTTAACCTTTGAGTTGACAAGGGATTAAAATTAATTTATGGGTGGTCTCATAATTTGAGAATATTGATTGATTTGAACGGACTGTTGGAAAGGATACAACACCCAACAACGGAATGAAGCAAACTATAATCATTTGCAGGTGAATCACCGGTATAACTTTGTTGTTCCATGGACTGGGGTCCATACTCAACATATATAATGTTTATGGGGCTCAGCTAAGTGGAGAAATAAGAAAGATCGAGGAACTGCGAGGTAACACCTCGATTCACACTTGTGTATCAGAGAAGACCCGTTCCTCGCGCATTAAGCTATTTTCCCTTCCAAAATAAAGCAAATGAAAGTGTTTTGTTATTTATATTTCTTATCATTAAATTACAATATTACTATAATATTTATATTTCTTAATATATATATCAATATATGTTGTAAAATAAAAGTGTTTGTCTGATTATTAAATTTGTTTTTGAATTTCATATGAAGATGGGAATTATCAGTGCCTTATCACAATTATCAGTGTTTAGGTTATAAACATTGGCAGATAACAGTCCATAGAGGCGACGTCGTTCACAAGTACCGAGAAATTTAACATGAAGGGAAGAATATTGAAGAAGTATAAAGTATGTGGTACCACAATCGATATCGATATAGATAATGTGAAATGACAAGAGAAATACGAAAATTGATAAATAATAAAAGTAAAAATAAATAAGCTGATACAAGATAAATAAGGCAAATAAATATACAATAAAGAAGAAAAATCGAGGATAACACACGAGGAGATTAGTTTGCTGTTTCAAACATGTAATTATGGAACAAAATGTTGTTTTCCTACCCACAGGTTTTTGAAAAATATGTTATAACCTTTTTTTTTAGGTGGGATGATAGTGTTTTTTTGTGAAAATAAATTTTCTATCATATATAGTAATCATTATTTTCTAATGATGTTTTCTTCCCAAGAATTATGAAAGAATTTCTGAAGGGAGCGATTTTATGGAAGAAGATATATAAATTTAAATGTTAAGATCTAAGGTTTAGAGAGTGAATACAGGAATGTAGAGTAAGTTCTAGGGAAGTTTTTAGGTACTACGGTTCAAGGGTCCTGTCTTGAATTGAATAGGGTAGGGGAAACTACATAATTTATATATTTCAGATCTCCCTTCCCTTCCCTTCAATAAAACATTCATTATGTGCTGAAGATACAGCTATTTACTCATCATCTTTTGGAATTGAGATTATAGCTGACAGATTATAAAACTCACCAAGTAATTTGAAAAATCGAAGATAATATGGCCATGATCATTTATGATTTTATTTTAACGTTAATATTTACAATGCTGCGGTACACGAGTGCCATCTGCTAGCACAAGTTCAAAAGTTTCAAGTAGGCACATTTTGATGCTTTTTTTTTTTTTTTTTTTTTTTTTGTATTTTTAAGGATGGAACGTTACGACGGGTTTATGAATTTTCCGAATAGAGAGATTCAAATCAAAAGACAAAGAGGAACATGGAACATAGAATATACTGCAGTCAGTGTAACTGTATATAATCTACGATTTTTCGAATTCTACTTTTGGTTGTACAGTTTTTAAGAAGAGATGAGCAATAAAGTATCTTGGGAGGAGAGATATGTGCCATTGACCTTGATGGAGGGGGGAGGGGTTTGCACCCCTGATCACGTCAATATTATTATACCTACCAGAAAGCTCCGTGTTATTCCGTTTTCTCCAGGTCTTCCCTCTTGAATCAGGTCAAAATTCCTCTCAATATTTTTCTTTCAAATATCAGCAACATTTCCTGTATTTTTATATGTATTCTTTCTTTTGTAACTGTTCATTACTGTTATTTTAAGGGGAAATAGTCCCAGAATAAAGTTTATTTTCTATCTATTTCTACTATTGCCTCTTCAGCTCTAGTGAAGACGCACGCTTCGGAACTTTATGTAAAAACTAGGTGCACCAAGGTCTTATAAAAACTTGTTCTAAAATGTTCGGCAGACCATAGTAGCTACGGTTAGCAGCAGCGAAGATCCTCCTGAAGATTTCTACAAATAGTATTGCAAGATGCGTTTTCTTCTTCGAACCCAGGTATATGAAATTTAGTACAGTTCCTAGTTTTTAGGGACCAATCTCAAACCAACTAGCCCATGCTTTCCTATTCACAAATACTTCGTTTGGCTCCATTATTATCCAAACAATGTTTTCATGTTTCGAGGGTAAGAACTATCCCTCTGTTATACCGCCATTAGATCTCTTCTGTAGACTTCTCCGTTGTTGATCTTAGCCATTCCATCTAGCGTTAAAGTCATCATTTGGTCCTTGCGTGCAGATCTTCTTACAACTGCTCTATATCCAACTGGTCCTGTTTTCAAGGTTCTTCAGTTTCGACCAAGAGGGATAAATAAAAAAATATGTAGTGCACATAATTGTCATAACTTATAATACGTAATTGTTTAATGTGTTTATTTATAATTGACGTTTTTTTAAGATTTGATAACTTAAAAAAAATCTAATGAAAGATGATTACTAAGTGAAAATAGTGTGATGCGTCATACCAGATTTTTCCATAAAAATCTACAGAAATGCAGTTCATTGGTTCTTAAGCTATGCACTCTAAAAAAACTATAAAGTTATCTTCCTTGATAGGTTTATATTCGTTTAAGAGGATCCTCAATGGAAATCACCCAACTCTGCTTTATCCGAACAGCAGGAGAATATCTCAGAGCGGTTTTCGGAGCAATATTAATCCTAATTTTAGTTTTCCTCTACGTCTTAATTGGGAGAGGGGGAGGTGCTTCACTTTAATAATGATTGTAGTGGAATAGCGGTGACCCTTATCAGATTGAATGCTATCTATTCTTGACAGACGGCATGAGTCCTATTTCAAAACCGATGATTACTATTAATAATCAGAAAAACATATTATTAAGTAACTTCTCGGGGTTAAGATTTACTATGCCAGGTGAAGATTATAATCAATGAGCATCGTCATCATGAAAAGGTAAAGGTCCTTTATTTTTATTTTTATTCATACTTATTTTCCATTTATTTGTTTCTTCTACATATATAATACTTAATATTTTACTACATTGTCACCCACTATATCTCTGATATCATCTTTTATTTCTGTATCTGACAACTTCTTCTTATTTTATATCTACTTATATTTAATTTTTATTCTCAACATGTTTTGTATCTTTTGTAGCCCTGAAGACGACCTGCAAAGTGGGTCGAAACGTCGGCAAAATTAAAATAAAATAATTACTATATTTTAATTTAGTATTTATCTGACCGCACCCCCGATTAACTCCTTCTCAGATTAAAAAATAATTTTACTCTGGGAAAAATCATCAAACAATAATTACACTGCTATAGTTTTTGTTTAACTAATAATTGTTTGATTTTTTTTTTTCACTTGGGTAATATCTAGTAGTACAGATTCATCAGGGTATCTGGAGTTCTTTCTGATCCTTAGTATTCCTCATTGGTAACCACAATCTGAGTGTTCGTTATCCTTGCCTGTATTCTCGAAGACCGGAGATTTATTCCCTCCGCTCTTGTCCACATGACCTGAATACTCGATCCCTACAGTTACCTTGTTCTTGATTAAGGATAAAAGGATAAGGAAGGTGGCTTGTCGGAGCCTCTCTAAAAAACTACTGCTTTTCTACGAGATTAGATATCATAGACCGCAAGAAATCGTTTGATTTATCAAAAGTAATTCATTCTTTGTAATACCCAGTCAAATTTCACATCTCATTTATGCCTCTTGATAACCACTCGACTTCGTAGTTATGTTCGAAGTTCAAAAAAGTCGTTTACTCCTCTCGTTTAACTGATATATACGAAGGAAGGACTTAAAATAAATGTATGGTACATACTAAATGAAATTTAATGAATACAGTCACGTTTATTAATTAAGAACTTTTCAGAGTTATAAACGAAAAGGCATATACTTTTTCAATGAAGAAGATAACTGGAAGGAAGGCAAAACTATTAGGAACGAAAGATTGGATCCACTAGAGAAAAAGGAAAAAATAAAAATAACTGATATGAATACCATAGAAAGGAACATAAATATGAGTTTATCAAGTTATAATTATTAGAATAACTTAGCTACTTTTAAAAGTATATAAAATTAATACAAGTTATTTTTATATTAAAAATTAACTAATAAGTTTCATAGAATAATCAACTTACCCAACTAAATCAGTAATTAATTTACTAAAATTACGTGGGATCTCATAACGTGTACATGGTACAATGTTAGTACTTTTAGCGTTCGTATTCAAAGAGGAAAATCTGAAATATTAACAAAATACAATTACCAAAAAAAAAAATCACCAAATTTGAAATACACAAGTAATATTAAAACTTAAAATTAATTACCTTATAATAAATAATTTCCGATAATCATGGCAAAGATATGGGTTGTTATGCAGTACACTCAGTGAATATAAAAATAACCCATCTAAATGGTGATAATGGAAGGTAGGCTCTCCATTGAGACAGCTCTCGTACCATTCCGAAATATTATTATCCTCAACTAAGATAACTTTTACATTATTTCTACTAAGTACATTCTCTAGCCACATATTCGGATTTTCACTCACTTTTTCTATTTCTTGATCGTCCAATGGATCCCAAACCTGTAAAAAAATGTTTTACGAGTAATTAAATAATGAAATATCATTTTAAGAATCAAATATCTATTATATATTATAAGGTATTCCCAAAGCAATCTTTCATTCAAAATAATAATAGTTTTATTATATTTCTTTTATTACAATTTTGTTTTGATTTGTATGAAGTTATGTTAAATATTGAGAGGGAAAATGTTTCTTTGTTTTTGTTTATTTAATAAAATTTACAACTGCATACAAATACAACTAGTAAATATGCACAAATTAGAAATAATGACATGAACAGGCTTGAAGAGATACAACCAAGTGGTAGCACTCCCTAAATAATTCTAGGTAAGAAGATCAAGAGGCCATCTCCTTTTCAGACGCCTAGGAGCATTATCAGGAATCTAGGAAGAAGCAAGGATGGAAACAAGGGGATTTGGACGGGACTGGAGTTTATCATGAAATGATAATTATCTGGCTAGTGCGAAATCAGCGACATATGGTACATTAACGTCTTTATGAATGGTTTTATTTGTGACAAAGTATGGAGCATTAAGGATTTTAAGGAGGATTATGGATTGTAAGGATTGGATACGATAGGAATTCGATGGTTTGGTGGAGCCCCAAAGCTCACGAGAGGGAAAATAAACTGTTTTATTCAGTAAAATTGGATACTATACTGAAGACATTGGTTGTTGTCGAAGAAGATGAGTTGATTATTTAAAATGTTCTCCATTTGAGGCTCCCTGACGTCAAAAGGAGATTACAAATAGTTCTAAGAAAAATTCAATCAAGCAACAAACAAGGGTTTTATAGCTTTTATTGTTTGAATTTTTACAACACGGAATGATTTATTTTAAAAAAATCATATCCTATGCTCTAGAGGCAAATGAAATCATAATTAAAAGCTGATTACAACATATATATGTATTAAATATATAAACGATAATGATTCCTTATGAAATCTTCTGTACCTCTCCTGGGAACAGATGGATACTGGATTCTAGTAGGTCGTTAAGAACAATAGGACTCCATTATCTCCCAGACGATATCATCTTTATCGGAAAATATGAAGACGACCTCCTTTTAATCCTCAATCCAGGTAAAATACCCGAAATCCTATCAACCTTCATTTCTTACCACCTCCGCCTCAACATTACAGTAGAAAGTGAATTAAATAATTCTCTATATTTTCTTGAACTCATCATAAGGAATCCTAACAACATCATATCCTCAGACTGGTACACTAAACCAAATTACACAGGCATACTTATGAACTTCCATTCCAATTATCCTTATCACCAAAAAATTAATGTTGCTAAAAATATCATCCACCGAAGTCTCACTATCTCTGATTCCCAATTTCATATGACCAATATCCATCGTATTAAAAACCTTGAAATAGCCTTTGATTAAACTCTTTCCTGCAAAAAAACATATATCCAATATTTCCCACGGTGCCTTTTCCACATTAAAGCAACAAAATTATCTCCCTCACCTATTTACATTTGAATGGAAATGAAAACCCGTTAGCTTCTTAATTAAACTTTAATAAATTAAAACCTTAATATTCTTCCACTTTGAAGGCTGTTGTGTGGTATATGGTGGTGTCTCTAGGGATCTCGAGGCAAAACTAAAACGGTTGATAAATTGCTTTGTACGTTTCATCTTCGGGATTCCAAGGGACGCCTCTGTCTCCAGTTTTTATGAAGAACTGAAGTGGCTTTATTCTTTCTATCGTCGTAAGTATTTCCTAGCATCCTTTCATTTCCAAGTTATGAAATCCCACCGTCCATCATATATCTTTGAACTTCTTAAATTCAAATATTCTGTCCATTCCCGCAATACCCGCTCTAGGTCCTCAGATCTATTCAATCACTTCCTATCTATCCAGTTCCCAAACAATGATAAATAGCTTTTTCTGTAAATATGTATATAAATTAATAGTTTGTTTTTAAGTAACTTTTTATTCTTAATTCATCAATGATAGAAATTGACTTAAATATGCATATTTAATTTCTGTTTGTTTATTTTATTATATATTTTAAAAACTCTTGAGGCTCTAAGCTATTATTTTGTATTATTCTGTTATTAATTGTATTATTTCAGAATAAATTAAGCATATTATTATTATAATTTTTTTACATACATAGATTTGCTTTGATTTTATTCAATTCAGCATTATATGAATTTTTATGTTTATCTTGAATAGTCAAGTTATCTATGTAGCTTTTTATGTGGAATACCGAGCTTCACTTACTTTAATACCCATAAGTTAATTAAACTTATGTTTTATATCTAAATGTGGATTCTAATCTTGTAGTACAAAAATTAAATAGTTAATGAAATCTTGATAAAGTTGTCTGTCCTCTTATTATTTTTACTTTTACCTTTGAGAAATAATGATGAAAAGTTAATAGATTTAAAATTTACAGAAAGAGTACTTCTAAGTAAATATACTTACATATCCCAAAACAATAGGCAAACAGCTTAAGGGAGAACTATATGGACAGAGCTTAAACCAAGAACTTTTGCTAAGGAGGAAAAGAAGCTTTTGCTTTTAAATAACGTCAGCCAAATGTACCTCTATGATTTTTTACATTATTTTAATACCCTGCGCTGTTCCAAAAGATAATTGACATTTCAGCAATTAATGGTTATTCTTGAACGCATGCAACGAAGAGGCTCTCCCATAAATAGTTTGCCTATATACTTTTGTTGTGGCTAAAAATCTTATTTGATGAAAATAAAAACCATAGAATAAATAAATACTTAAATAATGCTTAAATTAACCTACTTTTGTTACATAGAAGGATAAAATATTTCTAAATTTTATCATCAATTTTTCTAGTGTATCTGATTCTCTCGGATAAATCAGCAGGATTTCAACTGATTGTATAAATACATGAGGAGGAGTAGTACTAATTTTTGATGGAGTCGTGTCATGACTATTATATAATAAACCATCTTCAATACTTTGAGGTGGCCTGATATTGTTATATGGCCAGCATTTTTGGCTGCTATCTGAAACATGGTTAAAAATTAATATTACTTCTAATTCTTATCGATTTGATCATATACAATTATGTATTAAAAATTAAATTATTTTTTTGAAATGCGGAATAAGGTCCATAAACCAGTTAAGATAAAAAAGTCATCAGTATTCAACCAACATTATAAAAGTTGCCGTGGAAAAAAGTTGCTGTAACATTCCAGGTATATACTTAACGAAAATATGCATTTGCAGTTTCGTACTGCTTTTAGTTTTTGAACTAAACTGTTCACACACACACACACATACAATCAACCACACACAAATACGGATCGATTCCTATAATAGAGGTCTAGGTGAAAACCACAGTTCGTTATCACTTTATATAATAAATATTCCAAAAACAATATTTTTAACATTTTATTTTTTATGAACGAAATGTGCATTTATGTTTATTATAATACATTGAACTTTATTTTTTAGGCCTTAGGACATAGCCAATTTATACGGTAAAACCTTAGTATGAAATAAGACACTCTATTTGCCATGGTATCCCAGACTACTAATATCAAGCCTATTTGGATATACGGAATTGAGCTTTGGGGCTCCACAAAACCATCGAATTCTGTTAAATTATCGATCCAGTTCGCGAAATCAGTGTCGATGTCCCATTATGCATTCTTGAAGTTCCATCTTGGTGGGGAATGCGTTTGTTGAACGGAAATTCAAGTCGACTTTGAGTGCGCTTGGCTTATGGTCGCTTCCTCCTAGTTGGTTTGTCACCAATCGTTGTTTAGAATAGATAGATTATTTGTAGCAAACGCTAATTTCGGGAAGATAGTTGGTTTCCTGTTCCGTGAGTAAATGGTAGAAGGGTCGTCTTATTTGTTGATAAGTTAAAGGATGACTTCAGCGTGCCACGTTTCAACTTCCTAAACTCGCTGGTTCGAAGCTTGATATCGCCACAAAGCAGTGTGGGCATTGAAGTAAACTATTACAAAGCAGTCGTCCTCCGGATCGTCCATAGCTTGAAGAGAAAGTGTTTTATCATTGGGACAATAGTCATTGTACAGCTTCGATTGTCTATCCCCGATTCGGACCAATGTTCCAATGATCTGTGCTATAATATGTTTATGATCCTCGCTTATATGGTGGAAGGGGGGAGAGGGATAAAGGTATATGGGCTCTTTGCATGAGAGAGTTTCATATCATAATGAGAATACCACTCTTGTTTCGACCGACGCTATCTTTTCAAAAAAAAAATTGGTAGCTTTTCACACTAAATTGTAGGTCAGGTTTTAAGTAAGTTTCCTGTATGCATATTACGCCCATAGCCTCTTCGAACATTCTTTTAATGAAACTTTCTTTTATTTTTTTATTATTTTTTTTTACCGGCCTTTCGCAATCCATCGCCTGATTCGGAAGCTCTTCTGTTGGTCCAGTCAGTAGCAGACCTCTCTCCGGTTCTAACTTCACGACCGAGAGGAAGTTTACAACCGGTAGCTTGGAAGCGGCCCCTCCGACTAGGGTCTGATGCTCCACTTTCCCGGTGGGAACCAACAAGGGAAGCACCTCGTTCCATAATGATTCGACCATTTTTAACCATAATGGGGTAAGTGAGTGGAGTCCTATTTTCCTGAGTCCTATCTATCTCGGATGGACGATGGGAGTATTTGCACCTTACGGTTGATTGAACCCCTCCGACTTCAGCGGTCTTCAAAAGTTGTGGTCCCGTCGTAGTTCTCCAGCTATATCACCAGTCTCCAGCTTCGCCTGTAGATATTTTCTCATAGGCTCATCCAACTCTTGCTGATTTCCGCCTCATGTAAGTACTAGTAAGGCTGCTGCCTCAAAGAAAATATGCATTAATTTTCATTATGTGATTATTGTAGGTGAATTTAAATGTATTGCAATGAAGTATAGAAGAATTCATTTATGTATGCTTGATTTATTTTCTCCAAAATAGGAGAGCCATAGCTTTCCAATAATTCATGTAATTCTACGTTGTTTATTTTAACGAATCTTGTTTTATTTAAACCCATCTTAGAAATACTGAAAACTATTTTTTTAGATTTAAAAGGAATATTCCCATTTGATAAAATATTTATTTCAATTTAATCTTACTCTTTTCTACTTTATCAATGTATATAACTAGCAATGCAAAAATAAAATTTGTAAAATATATACCAACTTTATAATTCATATCATTATCATATTATTAGAATTACAATAAATTAATACCAATATCTGTAAATTAGATTGAAAATTAATTATGAAAATAGAGAGCCGATATAATAAACTTCACATAGTATGAAATTTTCACACCTACACATTTTCTATTAAACAAATATGATTTGCACATGGGTAATCTTTTAATCTTTCCCAAATATGTTTTTCAGAGAGATATTCCTCCTTTAAAGTTTGGAGAGGTATTAGGTTTACATTCATTTACAAACCTCGTTTACATCCAGCCTAAACCACTGTTCCTCGCTATACCGTATTTACTCCAATAATTATTTCCGGAGGAGCATCATCTAGAGGCAGATTGTTTTCATTCCATCCAAAAAATAGAAAACTAATTTTGATTTCATTGGCCCATATTTATTTCTATGTGTTTTCCGATCACAATATGATGTCTTTTAAAATTAAGAAGCAGATACCTCAGCTGCTGAACGCACATATCAAGAAAAAATATAAATACTACATCCCTATAACACCATCCTCCCCCTTCCACATAGCATTATTGTCCTCGTAATTATCGTCATAAAAATACTTATTGTGTTTTATTGAATAAACATATAATTTAAAATGGTTAAAATCTAGTAATATAGTATTTTTTAAAAATAAAGTTACCTCCAAATATTTTTCTTACTGCGAACATAATACTTATCAGTAGGGTAACAGAAATACTTAAAACTATAAATGACTTGGGTAAGTATATTTTCTGACTGTAGGCAACAGATATTCTTCGAGGATAATCTGAAAATATTTGATATAAATTAGATTAAAATTACTAAAATAATATTAAGATACTGATAGTATTTAATTGGGCGTAGGAAAAACTGAATCGTTATTATGTACCTGATGAAAGATGAACAGTTTCAGTGTAAATCATACAGCATTCATGGTAAGCAGGAGATATCTGTAAATTAGAAAACAGCTTTTAGTATCATTGATATTAAAACATCTAGTTCAGAAATACATTAAATATTGAATTTCAGTTTGAATAATGATATAATAAATAATAACATTTAAGCCTTATTGAGGACTAATTAACTATTTTCACTTTTTTACCATTGTCTTAAATATTTACACAGTCTCATGCTGTCCATGACCGTCATCGCGCAGGAGGGGATGGAAAAGTTTTCTAGCAATATTTCACACTATATATACAGAAAACATAAAATAAACAAAAGCAAAATAACAGCTAAATAATAATAAAAAAGTATATTCAATAAAATAACTTATCTTTAGTCAAAAAAACAACAAACATATATATATATATATATACACATATATATCTTGTACACTATTTACAACCAGCCACGTGAACTCAGCAGGCTTATCCCACTATAGAGGAAAAGCATGACTCCAAGAGATCCCTGCGCTACTCTCTCAACCGCGTTACTGGTACTAAATCCAGTGGGGATTGATAGCGAGAGTGCTTCAGCCACATACACCCATGTCTTGAGTGGAGAATTTGGACATTGCCAGAACTCCAATATATACAAACTACAAAAGGTAGCGAGACCACTACAGTTTTAACATTCTTGGAGAATTATAGGGGTGGGTGAGGCTAGATATAGATTGTGCAAGGGAATTTCGATGAAACGTAAGGTTCTGGTGAAATTTTTAGAGGTTGATCTCATGGTGTAAAGTTTTGTTGGTTACATAAAATGGGACATCAACTATTGTTTGAAGGACTTTGGACTGAAAGAATTTGATGTGTTTGAACAATCTGGCGTGACAAACACGGCCAAATACTTGTGAGATGTCTATTAATGCACCGAAAAATTATTACCGCTTTTAGTAGAAGTGATAAAATATAATAAACTAATCAGAGTCCTTGTTGGACAATGAAATAGTGTGAGTAAAATCCAAACGGATGAGAAGGGTGATTTTTGGATTCTCTAATGGGTAGGATTCGTTTCTCTCTGTTCATGACAATTCACAATGGAAGAACACTAAAAAATTCGTAAAATCTCATCATACATATTTCACATTCTCTCCGTCGAGGTGATGGCTCTTGGTCAGCTTTTGATAAAGATAAAGCCGAGGAATTCATCAAAAAAATTTCCTACACATTCACCACTCATCCAAAATCCAATCCCACCCACACCACAACAGTGGAAAAATCCCTTATATCACTCATTCAACTTTCCTTATTTCCTAAAGCTGTTAATTCTTCAGAGGTCAAACATCGTTTACAAAAACCTCCTCCCCGTAAATATCCTGCATACGACCACTTCCTCCTAAAGATTATTGTATTCCTCACTTACATATACAATAGCATGCTACAAACCAACAACAAACTTTCCTCTTTTATGGAAACATTCCACTATTTTCCTATTTTCCAAACCAGGCAAACGTCCCAACAGCTTGCTTGACTTCCTACAGACCAATTAACCTACTTCCAATCCCCTCAAAAATCCTTGAAATGATCCTACTGAAACGAATGTAACCATTTCTCCCTCCCCCCCCCCAAAAAAAATCTCTTTACCATCAGTTCGGATTTCGTTCACAAAACTCCACAGTCCAACAAAGATTCCGATTGGTCGATTATACTTCCTCATGCCTGGACATAGCTCAGGCTTTTGACCGGTTATGCCAGGCCGGGCTTCTTTTCAAGCTTAAAACCAATCTACCACATCTTGGGTCCCGTAATTTACATCCCTTTTACCGCTGACATTCCTCTTCATTCGGATAAAACCTTGCAAAATTTTGTGAAGACACTAAAACCCTATCACCTAACACATATCCCGAAATATCATCCTTAAATTTAAAATGGCATCTCTCCCTGATTGAAAACTGGAATTTCAACCCAATTTCACCTGAACCTTACGTATCATCCAAATCCTGTTACGCAATCCCTATAAAGTGTCATTCATCCCTATAATCCTCCAGGAAGGTTTAAACGGCAGTGGCCCCGCGACTTTTTATAGTTAGTATATATTGGAGTTCTGGCAATGTCAAAATTCTCCACTCAATACATGGCTGTATGTGGCTAAAGCGTTCTCGATCAATCTCCACTGGCTTTAGCATCAATAATGCGGTTGAGAGAGTAGCGCAGGGATCTCTTGGAGTCCTGTTTTCCCTTTATAGTTGAAGAGACAAGCCTGCATCGGAATTCACTTGCCTGATTGTAAATAGTGTGTAAGGTATGTATGTGTTGTTTTTATTTACTTATCTTCAAGTTATTTTATTTACAGTATATACTTTTTGATTATTATTTAATGTTGATTCTGTTTATTTATTTGTTTCGTACATATCGTGTGAATGCGATCTTACCTCATTATAACCATTGTCCAAGTGACAGAATGTTATTCAAAAAACAAATTATTATAAAGTATTACTGAAAAAAAATTAATACATGAAAGATTAATCATAATTTCGGTAATGTTTTCAAAAATCACCCCTCTGATAACTTAGTTGTAGATCCGAAAATCAGAAAACTTCGAAAATCTTAAATTAGTCGATGATAATTCAAAATGTGAAATATTAACCATAGAATCGATGATGTTTTCAAACACTACCTCTTCTATTACGCATAAATGGATACTTATATTGCAGGAATCAGAAAAGATGAAATTAATTGAAAATAAATTGAGCTTTGGGGCTCCACTAAACCATCGAATTCCTCTCGTATACAATCCTTACAATCCAAAATCCTTCATAAAATCCTCAACGCTCCTTACTTTGTCACAAATAAAATCATCCGTAAAGACCTTAATGTTCCATATGTTTCCGATCTGGCCCAATCCAGATACATTTCCTTCCACAAAACAAACTGCAGAACCATCCGAATCCTCTCGTTTCAAACATTGCTTCCTCCTCGATCCCTGATAACCCTCCGAGGCGTCTGAAAAGAAGATGGCCTCGGGATCTTCTAATATAGAACTTTAGTTTGAGTTCTACCAATGGGTAGTTTTTCTTCATGTTGTACATGCCATGTTACAAATTTCTCATTTACTTATTGTGTTCTCTATGTAATACAGTTGTAAATTCCATTAAAATAATAAAAAAAAAAAGTTGAAAATAAACAGATACGCTAGAGACTATCTTTAAAATAGATAGTTTTTTAAAAGACTAGACGTTCGATAACCTTATAAATGATCCCAAAACAGGAGAATTCTGAAAATATTCAATAATAAATCAATAGTGTTTTCAAAACATATGTCTCAAATACATAATAACGCATCCCTAAATCAATGATATACGAAAATTAGAAATTAATCGATACGTGAGAGACTAATCTTGTAATCTGTATTGTTTTCAAAAACTACGGCTCCGGTAACTTAATGAGACACTCCAAAATCGAAGAAATCCGAAAAGCTGAAATCAACCGATAATAAATCGATATGCGAGAAAGTAATCTTAAAATCAATAGTGTTTTCAAACACTACCTCTTCAATAACGTAATAACATATACCTAAATTGAAAAAATCAAATAAGCTAAATTTAATCGATAATAAATCGATACGCGAGTGACAATCCTTAAAATAGATAGTGTTTTCAAACACTATATCTCTGATAACGTAATAACAGACCCTTTAATGGAAGAATATCAGGCGAGACAATAATCTTAAAGTTGATTGTGTTTTCAAACACTACCTCTCCGATTACATAATTGTACCTCTTAATTGTAATAATCCGAGTATTTGAAATCACTCTATAATAAATCGATACGCTAGAGAATAACCATTTAAAAACGATGTTTGTAAATTATACGTCTCCACTAACTATATGACCGACCCAACATAACCAAAACATGAGCCTGAACATGGAAATAATTTTAATTGAAAATAATATTATTTTTATTAATGATAGTACGCCATACTTGATTTTATAGTACGTTTTATTTTCACTTGGTAATTTTATTTTTACTTGTCATTTTCTTCAAAATTTGTTAAATAATAAATAACAAGCGTAACTAATTTCATTTAAATACTCTTTTTTAAATAGATTTATTTAGTGAATTTAAGTATTTAAATAAATTTATTTGAGTAATAAGTATTTACTTCATGGTCTCAATATTTAAATAACTTATCAGCTGTGAAATAAACTATAGAGGATATTACGTATATAATTCAATAGTTATGCAATATATTTACACAACATTTGTGTTGTATACTTTATAAAAAGCTTCCGCTGGGTTTTAGTTGTAAATTTTTCCCCATAGTCCTACCAGATTCTATATATTTCCACTCATCACTAGTGTATAATTACTGCAGGTAGTTCTAGTTAAGTGAAAAGAAATGAACAATTAAATACATTCAGCTTATATTTATATTATGGTTGAGAAAACATAATAGTTCAATTAAATATTATTATAGATTTAGTAAACAACTTACCCTGGCACAATAATAAACAGTGTCTGTAGTGTTTTCAGAGCTGTATATTTTTAATTCCTCAGTAGGCTGAAAAAAAAAATCATTAATGGAATGAAATATTTAAACATGTGGCATATTTATTATATTTAGAATGAAAAATTGTGATTTTTTTACAATTAGTTGCATTTTTCATAATATTTATTCAATATATAACAGTATAGGTAGATAAATTATAATCACCTTCAAACATTTTTTATTGCTTAACATTTTGGGTTAAACTAGCCATCATCAAAAGCATTGTAACCTATTTTCCATATATACTAAATTATTAATCCACAAAACTGTTTCTTCATTTCAACCATTTTTATCATTAATGTTCAATTTGTTTGTTTATAGAAAAATAAAGCATCGTAAATTTGTAGGAAAATATTGCAAGCAGGTTGTAGGAAAATGTCGCAACCAGTTAGTTGGAAAATACCGCAATCAGTTTGTAGGGAAATATCGCTTCGTCAAGCTATTATTGCTTCCAAAGTAAAGTAAAGAAATGAAAATGAATCATTTTAAGAAAAACTCGGTACAATATCACTCTTTGAATCAGCTAGTTTGGGGATTAAAAAAAGTTAATTTCATTAGCTTTCTTACGGTGTACCCAACTTTGCCAAGTAAGTCTAATTTCAAAGAAATATTAAGCTTGGGAAATAAGAAAACAGTTAGATACCTACAACAATAACCGGATTTTTTAGACGATTTCCATAATCTGTATCAGTTAATATAATTGAATTAATTATATTGCGGCGATAAAATTATTGGGTTTAGTGACAAAATAATAAAAGGTTAATGGTCTGTGGCCTCTACCGTGAATCTCCCCCCTCTCCCCCCACATCCCTATGAATTGCATATCGCTGTGTTCCTTGTAACTATTTATTAAAAAAAAAGCCAATGTTCCCACAATAAAAGTGAACGACTGCTCCCAAAATGGCGTCCAAACATGGCGGACTGACGACTTTGACTTTAGTTAGTTTTTTGGTCACTTAGAATCAGCATTTGGTTTTATTTCGTCATAGTTGGACTTTTATTAAAGCTGAATAGTCAAAAAATAAAAAAAAAATATCAAAAAATAATTGGCTTGGGCAATAAATAACACCAGTAAAGTCAATTTTTTCAACAACAAAATTTTCAAGTTTAAAATCAAGCGTCGTTTCTAATTAAACGACCAAAAATAACGAAAAACGTTCTGAAATAACACATCTGGGGAATATATTTATCTTTCTAAAATACTGATTACTTTTTAAAATATTTGAAGTAGTTCCGTAGAAAATGAACTTAAGCGGCAGAAAAGCGGTACTGGCTTAGGTGCCTACAGGCCTCTACCACACCATTCAGTACCCATAAATGGCTTAGTTATAGTGCTATAATAACCTTTTTGGTAAATTACATTGATTGTATTAACGAACAAATAATTTTTTTTTAAATTTATTATATTATTTTTTAAAATTAAATTTCTTTTATTCGATACGGAGGTCAACAAAAATACTTTGTTGAATATCTTGAATTTTTTATTAACGTTAGCAATTTAACACTTTTTTTTGTATATTTACTGAGGTAACTTAAATTGTATATACTTCCCCGGAAATGAGTCATATAAATACCTGTTTTATAAACTAAAATAATATATATACCTAATCAGAACTACATATAATGAATAGTTGATTGGTTGTTTAGTAAAACTCATATATCACAAATAAAAAAAAAAATTTCATTTCCTTTATTTTGTTCGGAAGTTATATAAAAAAATAGGAAATTTTAATATTGAATGCATTATTCTCTCTGGACAAAGAAAGATGGAAAGGGTGAAGCTATAAGTTCTTCTAAGTAACCAGAAATGATTGCTAGTAATTGGTCTCAAAATGAGGGAAAACGCGAAATTGAACCAAAAAATTGGAAAAATATATCAATCGAACGAGAAAGGAAGTGCTAAAATCTCGGAAAAGAAAACAAGGATCAATATCCATTATATGGTTAAACGAATTTATAGTAGACAGATGAACAGAATATTTCAAGATGCTGCGAAAAGCAGGTCAAATGCTGGAGCAGTTTGGATGATATTAAGGGGACGATGCAGGTTTATTATAGTGTAGACCATTTTATCAGCAAGAAATACTTGTTAGAAGCAATTGGCAAGTTAAATAAATAGATATCTATTGGCCGTCTATTCCAAAAAAAATCATCAAGTAACCTTTTCAAAAATTAAATTAGCGAATAATTTGATGAATTTTCCCTTTGTGAAATCTCAATATTATCCACTTACAAATAGTGTGACAACTTTTGACCTATCCTTAGTAGGCAATGAAAGTCTCGTAATTTCATTTTTGTAAAATTTACAATGGAAAATAACAGTTTAATAACTAATAGTCCTACAATCCATAATCATTTATAGGTAAAATATTCAGATATACTTTGAAATCTCTCTATATATGAACCTTTTCGTTGACAGAATGACTAACTGCAATTTCAACATTCTTTATTATTAATTTTCGTTAAGTTTCTAGTTGCAAAATTTATACCTTTATTCACAGTTCTATATTTCAACAATTCAATCACCTACTCTGGAATTAACTTACTCACTGTCTGTATCGATTTAACTTTTCCAACTAGAAATATCACTAGAATGACATTAGTCAAAAATTTTAAAATTGTAGTTAGTCATTCTGTCAACTGAAAGGCTCAGAGACTGGAGTTGTGTGATTTATAAAAGCAGATGTAGTAACTAGATTTTATTGCCTACCGTCGATATAATAAATAGTCTTTTTGTAATTTTAATGGTCTTACTGATTTGTTATCTGTAAGCTTTAAGTTTTAGCTCATAAAAAAAATTTATAATAGCCCAACATTGCCAGAAAATAAAGTCTACTTAAAGTGGAGTCGTAAGTGAAAGTTGTGTGTAACGCGCAACAGATTTTTTATTATGTTGGAAGGATGTTTGTGTTCGACAGTGTTATAGGATGTAAAATTATATAATAATGTAGTGTTATAGTATATATTAGATTTAATATATTAGTATCTTTAACATACATTTTCCCATTGTACTTTTCTTATTTCCACACTGGAACAAGGATTTATATCTCCTCGGCAAGTGATGTTGCAAAGCGCTGAAAGAACCTCTACAGTTAATGTGCTAGCAGCTATTTCGCTTGACATTGTAAGACTTAATGAATTCCTGCGAAAATAATGTTAATAATATATATGTATATATAACATGATAAAGCCACTTCAACTCTGAATAAAAACGGGAAACAGAGGCGTCCCTTGGGATCCCGAAGATGAATCGTATAAGAGCAGTTTATCAAACATTTTATTTTTGCCTCTAGATCCCCAGAGACGCCCCCATATACCGTACAGCAATAGTCAAAGTGGGGAAATATTAAGGAAGTGACTAGTAGCCTACGGGTTTCAATGGGAAATAGGCGATGGTAGTAATTTAAACTTTTTAAGGTGGAATAGGTACGGCGGGAGATATTGGATACATGTTTTTTTTCCAGAAAAGCGTTTGATCAAAGGTTATTCCAAAGTTTTTGATTGTGGGATAAAATTTGATTGGATTATCATGTAGGAACAGAGTTGGAATATTAGGAACAGTTTGAAAGAGGTGATGGGAGCCTATTAAGATTGCCTTCGTCTTTTCCGTATTCAACTTCAACTCGATAGCTCTCTCCCAGTCACAAATCCTATTCAAGTCTTCTAGAAGTTTTTTTTTTGGCTGATAATAGGTCGGAGGGCGGGAAGGATAGGTGTATTTGGAAATCATCAGCATAGATATGGTATTGGGAGTGATGGATCTGGAGGTGAAGGTCATTAATGTAAATACCAAACAGAGTAGGAGATAGTGAGGAACCTTGAGAGACACCACAGAAGAGAGGGAGGATCTTAGATGGAGGTTGACCTGGTACGACTACATACTGGAACCGATTTGGAAGGAAGGATTTAAACCAACGCAGGGCATATATATAGGAAAATTGTGCTATTTAGTAAGGAGGATTTTATGGTCTATATAAATATAATAACGCTGTTTTAGCTAATGTTAATAATACATGAGTTACAGTATACTTTATTCTGTTAACGAGTTTAAACCTATTTCTGCAATTAGTAGTTAATAAATGCTTAAATTTCCTCTTGATTCTATCCAAGTTGGTACTTGTTTACTACAACTTACAAGCTAAGCACACGGTTAATATACGTCATTGTGTTGACTTTTAAATAATAGGATTCATGAAAATCAACAATATATATATATATATATATATATACCTATAGTGCCGTATTTTCGGTATGTGTTCACTGACACAAAGTTTAATTGTTTATTTATTTATTTAGAAATATTACATTCTGTCACATCAAGGACATTTATAATAGTGTTCAGAGAAAGCACACTCACACTCTATTTACAATAAAAAAAAAATAATACAGAAACTTAATAATAATAAATACAATAAAATAAAATAAAAATAAATACAATAAAATAAAATAAATGTATATAAACAAAAGAACTAACCTAACCATACACACTCGGGCTTGAGTGGAGGATCTGGCCATTGCCAAAACTCCAATAGATGCTTATTTACAAAAGGTCTCTGGGCCACTGCCGCTTCAACCTTCGAGGAGGATTATAAGGATGGGTGGTGGTGGATAGAGATTGTGCAAGGGGATTTGGATGATAGGTAAGGTTCCGGTGAAATTTGGAGAATTTTTCTGGAATAAGGTCTAGGACAAATGGCATATTAAGGTCATGGTGTAGGATTTTGTTATTTACATAGAACGGAGCATCAACTATTGTTCGAAGGACTTTAGATTGAAAGGATTGAATACGTTTGATGTTAGAAGCTTTTGCTGTCCCCCACAGTTCAAGTCCGTATGTCCATATAGGTTTCAGTATTGTCTTGTAGATAAGTAATTTGTTTTCAATAGAAAGTTTGGATTTTCTGTTTAGTAGTCTGTATAGCTGGCCGTATCGTCGGTTGAGTTCTTGTCTTTTGAGTCTAGTATGTGGGTTCCACGTTAGTCTTCGGTCTAAATGAAAGCCAAGATACCGGACTGTGTCTGAGTAAGGAAGCTGGATGGAATTAAAGTGTACTGGTGGACAGGAACTGCGTCGGAGTGTAAAGGTAATATGTTGGCATTTAGATTCATTAACTTTAATGCGCCAGTTATTACACCAGTGCTCAATCAAGGTGAGGTGGTTTTGGAGATTTAAGGATGCTATGTTGGGATCTGAGTCGGATGATAGAATGGCGGTGTCATCAGCAAAAGTTGCCAGGAAGGTATCGGGATGGACAGGGATATCGGCGGTAAAGAGGATGTAAAGGACGGGACCCAATACGCTACCTTGAGGAACACCTGCCTCAATTGGATAGCAATGCGAAAATTCAGTACCGCAACGAACTCGGAAGGTACGATCTGAGAGGTAGGAACGGAGAACAAGGTACAAGGACTGAGGAAGATAGTTTTTCAGCTTGGAAAGAAGCCCGGCGTGCCATACCCGGTCGAAAGCTTGAGCTATGTCCAGAAATGCACCCGAGCAATATTGCTTGCTTTCCAATGCTGCGGAAATATGATCAACCACTCGGAGTCCTTGTTGGACTGTAGAGTGTTGTGAACGAAATCCGAACTGATGGGAAGGAAGAGTTTGGGATTCTATAAAGGGTAGGATGCGTTTCAGGAGGATCTTTTCAAAGATTTTTGAGAGAATTGGAAGAAGGCTAATTGGTCTGTAGGACGTTGAGGTGTTGGGAGGTTTGCCTGGTTTCGGAAACAGGATAATAGTGGAATGTTTCCACAAAAGAGGAAAGTGGGTGGTTCATAGGATGCTATTGTATATGTATGTGAGGAATATGACAGCTTTAGGAGGGAGTTGTCTAAGGATCTGAGAAGTAAGGAGGTCGTATCCAGGTGATTTACGGGTAGGTAGTTTTTGTAAGAGGAATTTGACCTCAGAAGGATTAACTGCTTTAGGCGGTAAGGAGAGTGGGATGGGTGAATTAAGGAATTTCTCAACTGCTGACGTGTGGGTGGGATTGGATTCTGGATGAGAGATGAATGTAAGGGAAAGGTGTTTGGCGAATTCTTCGGCTCTATCTTCGTCAGATGCTGCCCAAGAGCCATCACCTCCACGGAGAGGATGTGATATATGATGGGGTTTTAGGATATGTTTGGTGGTCTTCCATAGGGAATTGTCATGAGAAGAGAGGGAAGTGAGGTAGGAGTTGAAGGATTGGGATCTGAAGGTGGCCAGTTCTATCTTTAGTTTTTTGCAAAAATAATTATAGGATTGGCGATCGGTGGGGTGTCTAGTACTTTGCCATAATAATCTGGCACGGCGTTTGGTTTGGATTAGGTCTATGAGGTGTTGAGGTAACTTATTTTTCTTAGGAGTTCTTGAGGAGTGGTTTGGAGAGGAAGCAGTCCAGATTGCTTGTTGGATAGTGGTGGTAAAAAAGTGTACGGTATTGTCAAGGTCATCTGGGATTTTCAGGGTCATTCTGAGGTCAATTTTATCGGTAAGGATTTGGTGAAAGATTTTCCAGTTAACTTGGCCTCTGATGAAGGACGGTGGAGAAGACTTAGGAATAGGAGCTAGAGATAATTGGAGTAATAATGGACTATGATCTGAGGATAGTTCGGCAAGAGGGGTAAGGGAATGATTGAGGGGACCTAAGCCACTGTGGATGAAAAAATCAAGGATATCGGGATTGCGGTTAGTATCTGTGGGCCAGTAGGTAGGTGAGTTGGGTGGAAGGAGACTGAAACGTTGGGTATTGAGTGCAGACAGAAATGTTCTGCCACGAGAATTCGTGGTTCTTGAACCCCAAACTTGATGCTTGGCATTTAAGTCTGCACCCAGGATGAAATGATGACCTAAGGAGTTGAGGAGAGAACTGAACTGGATTTTGGATATGGATCTGTTAGGAGGGCAATATGCTGATGCAAGGGTGACTGGAAAGGAGAAGGCTTTGATTACAATAGCGGTTGACTGTAGGAAATCTTGAGTAGGTATTGGGAGTAAGTGATGGGAGAGGGATTGGTGTACGATGACAGCAGTGCCGGCATGTGCTCTGCCATCAGGGTGACTGACACAAAGTAAATAAAAAAGATCATATTTACACATGTCAAACTCATTTATTAAACAGATATCAAAGGTTAAAGATTTATTATATATTTACTACATTAAGACTGAATGCAAAGTTTAACGTGTTTAATACTAAATAACAGGTTTTAATCACCTGATAAACAAATGAACGATTAGCAATGGCAGTAGCTGCTCATCTATTTGTCTAGTTCTGTGTGTTTTAGAATAGAATAGAACTGAATAGAATAGAAAATTAAACTTTAATCTGGGACTAAGTCCCTTTAGAATAACAATGATGAGTTAATACAAAGTTCAGTAAAAATCTGGCCAAAAACTAACTTCTAAAAATTTTAATATTATATACATTATTTAAAAAGGATGTAACCAGTAAAAAATAAAAAATAAAATATATATACAAATGAACATAAAATCTTCTCAAAATTACTTAATTGTGATGAAAAAAAAGAAGAGAAATTACATATTTATATATACATAACTACACAATTTATAAACAATAGGCTATCTAATAGAAAACTAACTTAATACAAAGTGTAATAATATCTACAGTGATTTATATAATAATATGCAGACACTAAGATAAAATAAAATCTTAGGATTACTTGTGGTGTAATGGAAAAAAAAAATAAATAAAAGGAACTATTTATACGTACATTCTCATATTGGCACACAGAAAGACAAAAATATAAACATATATACCCGAAAGAAAAAGCACAACCTGAGGAGAAGAGAAAATAAATAATAGTCAAACTAGGTGACAAAGATCATTGCTGTTTTATGTTAAAACTTAAACAGTATGCACCACCATTTACTTCACGCAAATTCAGTTCATAAAATGAAATTTATGGTGGTAAATCTTCTGTTTGGGATGTAAGGAGATATTGGAAAAGGAGTTATTTGAAAGTTGACAGGGAAGAGGCATGACGGATGTTATGTGGCAAAGAATTCCAGTAGGAGACGGAGCGGGCTAAGAAGGAACGTTCATAGGTTTTTGTCCTGTGGAATGGAATATAGAGGTCAGAAACACGGGATCTCGTTTTTATTGAGTGGACTAATGGTTTAGGCTGGAGGAAATAACAGATATAGGAAGGGTGCTGGGAGTTGATCGTTTGGTATAAGAAATTTCCAAGGTCGTATAGGCGGCGGGAAGAGGGGAAGAGCCACTTTGACTCGGCATATAGGGAGGACACATGAGACCATCTCGAAGTGCCGAAGACGAATCTTAAAAAACAGTTCATGATTCTCTTCAGTCTGTCCTCAAGCTCCAACGAGAGGCCACCATATACCACACAGCCATAGTCAAAGTAGGGGAAAATCAATGAGGAAACGAGGAGCCTGCGGATAGGTTGTGGGAGATGCTGACGAGAACGATGAAATAATTTAAGAGTAACGATTGACCTTCTGGAGATTTGAGCAATATGGGGTTTCCATGATAAGTTTTGATCAATGGTGATTCCTAAGTTTTTTACAGAGGAGGTGAAGGAGATTGGTTGGTCATTAATAATCAAGGAAGGATGGGTGGAAATGGATCTAAGGAGGGAGTTGGAACCTATAAGAATGGCCTGAGTTTTCGTTGCATTCAACTTTAATTTATTCAAGCTTGCCCAGGCACTTATCCTATCTAGGTCTCTCTGAATATTCGTAAACGCTTCTAATAACTCAGTGGGCGGAAAGGAAAAATAAATTTGGGAGTCATGAGTATATAGATGGTATGAACAATGGTGGATTGAACTAGGAAGGTCATTGATGTAAGAATTAAAAAGGATAGGAGAAATACTTGAACCCTGGGCTACTCCATGAGACAAAGTGAGGAAAGAAGATAAGGGTTGATTCGAAATACTAACGGCTTGAGTCCTGTCAGAAAGAAAGGATTGGAACCATTGGATAGAACTATTGGAAAAGGATAGAGATTTTAATTCATTAATTAATGTTTTAGTATGAGATGGTCGGATCGTGGAAGGCGCAGAAACTATCAAGCACCATCCTGATGCTATACGAATAGCCAAAGAAGCATGGATTCGTCGTGCTGAATGTTGCATTCAACATAACGGAGGCCCCCTTTGTACAGTCAGTTTTAATGTACTAAATAAATAATAAATCTTTAACCTTTGATATCTGTTAATAAATGAGTTTGAGATATATGTTAATATGAACTTTTTGTTTATTTTATGTTAGTAAACATATACCTAAAATATTGCCGTGCTATTAAGAAACACCCTGTATATATATACACACAAAACACATATATTTTTGAAAATTAAATAGATACTTTTTGTTTAAAATTTATCTTTGAAGGTGTAGCAAAATCACGATCTTTCAATAGATCCATTTATTTACTAGTCATCATTTCAGGGCCGTATCCCTATTATTAAAACCTCTTCTATATATATATCAAAAATAAATTAAGATGAACTAAAAAATAAATTAACTGATAATATGGATAATTGCGAATAACATATGTGTGAACATTCTCTTAATATAAAAATAAATAAACAAAAGATATTATACCTGCGTAACATAGAAAGGAGTTTTGATAATCAGAAAACAGCACTGAAATGTTAACAAATAACTAATGGATATATTGGAAGATTACATATTTTTTCCAATCCTTCAAATAATTGCTTCGACATCCTAAAAAATTAAAAAGAAAAATATAATTAAAACCTTATTATTTTTCCTTTTGTAAACTTTTTTTTTTTCGCAACACAAATGATCTTGCCCCTCAATGCTTGGATACATACATACAGTTTGAGTTATCCAAGAGCCCCTCAACTCGTTAAGCACGGATAGTCGAGATTTTGGAATTATCATCACGATTTTAATAGCAATTTCAAATTATAGAATTTAAATCCCCGTTGATATATATAATTTTACTTTTATTTTCATTAAAAGACGCTAACTTATTTAATAAATAAGTAATAATTACAAATATTTGGAAAAACTTACCCCATTGTCTTCTTTATGAATAAATCCGAGTTTTTAAGGTTTTTGCATTCTCTGTGTGTTTCTGTTTTATTGCATAAAGGATCTGTAAAAATAACTTATTGTTTACATCTATTGCATAGATTCATTACACAAGGAGATAAATTTCGTCTTTACCTTATGACTTAAAAAAAAAAAAAAATTACAATAATAGCGTTTTGATGAAACTTACTAATATATTATAAGTAGCTTGTAGCTAAAGTTGATTTGTATCTACCTCATTTCGTAATTAAAGCTCTTTTATCCGATACATATTATGTTTATGAGGCCTTCTCTCACTAAATTTTTTAAGCAGCTGATGAGCATTTATTAATTTTCATAAATGTTCACATCCAAACATCTACTATCCCCAAATGTTTATAATTATTTCTCCTTAAAAAAACAAAATTCTCTCTAAACGTAAATTCTATTGTTTGCCGCAGGGGTTAGGTGAAGTGTTCAGCAAGTGGGGATTAATAACCCTCCGGTTTTTTCATTTATGTACACTACATGTACCGATTCAGTATACTGACACATCCTCGCACTACACATCCGCCAAGAAAGGGCCAGTTCGGATGAGAGAGTAAGTCATGATTCTCTCAGAAGGTACCTCCTCCACCTGACTCATAGACCTGGAGCAAGGGCCTAAAAATTATACTCGTTGCAGAACTTTTGAATGTATATTACGAAACTGTATGATACCATAAGTAAAATGAACCTTGTCTGTAATTCCAGAGACGCTGCTTTAAAAAATGGCAGCTGATTTAAAAAATATTATGCCAGTAATTTGATGATCGAAACGGGAAATATATTACGAAAACGTGCAAAAAGTTTTTATTTGTTTAACTTTGGACTGAAACATGTTAAAAAACAACATAAATACACACCTATGGAAAAATGTTTACAGCCACCAAGTTAGATGTTTCAGACCTTTGTTTTTTGTTTTTTCATCTATAACTTCTGAACCGTGCATCAAAGCGTACTTATTCTTTAAGAAATTAAGGAACATTAGATTGTGCGACAAATGAGTACCTAAACTTAATAGTTTGGTTATGTTGTTTGGTCTAAAACCATGGTCGATGTATGCTTATTTTAGCATATTTGTTAAAAACTGTCAATTATACCTCTTTTTGTGGAAGCAACAGCTTTGGAATGGCAGAGAAGGTAAAATATACTTTGAATAACATACAGTTTCGTAATTTACATTCAAACCTTTTTCTGCGATAATTACGCTTTTTAGGCCCTAACCCCAGGACTATCAGAGGAAATAGCCCCCTTTAGCTAATTGATAATAAGACCTCAACGAGATAATACCGGTAGATTAAATGATAATAGACCTGGACAACGTCATATGGACTTTAAACTAGGGATCTAGAATATCATATCATTGGATGGGCAGGGAAGTCATCAAGATCTTATTGAACTAGACAAATATAGAATGGATATATTCAGAAGGCGGGATGGCAAAAATTTGCCTCGCCCGGGAATTCGATAAACCGAAGATTATGAGTTTAATTCCCAGTGCCCGGGGGCCTTTTAACTCTAGCAATAATCCCACGCCCTCTCCCCTGGTTCGGAAAACTCCTTACAGCCGAAAAGGTAAGGATGGGGAAAAGGAAAAATATAAACATTATATTTTTATGGACAAAGCAATCATCTAAGAGGGCTTATTGTAATGAAATACCACAATGTTTATTACAGCTGCGATCCTAGGAACCACAACTTTTAGTGAGGTGGCTTAGAGCTATATTTTAAGACTACGATGTTTTAGGATCAGATAATAAAAGGAGCCTATGCTCTATCACGAAAATATTTGTGAACATAAGCTATCACTTTTCACTAACAATAAAATTTAAAGTATTGACAAATTTTGATACCATCCAATCTGCTAGGGTTGACGATCCTTCGTATTTGATATCTTGTTTGATTTGTTGAAGTGGGAGCGAAAGCAACAGTTACCAGAGTAGGAAACCCTATTCTTTCCCTGCTTACAGGGTGAATTTCCCACGTTTTTTCTGGTAAAGGGGAGTCTTCATATCGAATCATTACCAGTACGGGATCTAAAGTAAAAAGCAAAATAAAAAACATTAAAATATTAATTAAATAACTAAACAAAGTGTTATAAACAATAGAAAAAATATCTAATAGTATAGCATTTTTTCATTTCTAAAATTGTTTTGGATGACCCGAAGATTGATAATTTAAAAAAGTAATTGATTGAACTTATAACTTATACTTCTTATAACTTATAATATTTATCTATTGTTATTTACATTATATCATTCCATCTTATAAAAATTGTTAGTAATTTCATTGAAATTGCATTTACTAAATAGATAGACATATAAGAGATAGATAGAGGCAGATTTGTTTTGGGTATTCCCTCGAACAAAAGGGTGTTTGGCCATGGTCTTACAATAGTTGTTAGTTCTTTACTTATTGCTAAAATAAAATTTTTACGTATATTTTTAGAAATTGTGCTTTTCTGAAAAAAAAATAAGAGGATTCAATTACTGGGACGTCTACTTCAAACTACCTCAACCTCTCCTTCCCTAAATCACCTTCTACAGCATATGTCTCATCCTTGACTTCCTTTGGTTTTGCCTGGTCAATTTTCGTTTTCGACGTTCTCATGAATACCAGTTATGGCATTGACTAGAGGGTTGTAGTATGAAGTGCTCTTCTGAATTCCAATAGAAACTCATTCAGTTAGTTTTTCAGTTTTTCAGGCTCCTCCATCATTTGTTTCAATGGCCTTAAGAGGATCTCATCTACCCTTCCACCTAGACGTTTGACGACGGCCAGCAAAGTGCGATTGTTTGGTGTAAAACAATAGCGGATCCAGATTTTAATTTTGGGGGCTTCAATCTCAAAACATTTATGTGTTATATTTCCCCTTATTCCATATAAAATTATAAGACTCTCTCATCGTTGTAATGTTAATTCTAAGAATTACCTCTATTGAAGATAACTGGCGCAATCAGTAGGATATCCTCATGTGTTGAGGGCATAACATGATATCACTCTCAATTGGTAATTGGCGAGTCCATAACAGAGAGAAGAGGAGAAAAAAAAGTAGGCATGCTGACTATCGCAGTCATCTTATTGCAAATTTATTATTTAAGAGTTACAATAATTGAGTCCCTCCAGAAATGACGTAGGGGAAACTCTAAAATATCAGGACAGTTTTAATTTTCTCAGAAAAATTAATACGACAGTGAATAATAGAAACTTAATGGAGGACTCAATAAGACTTGAAAACATGGAAAATGTCATGACGAGTCATGGTCGAAACGTTGTCGAAATAAAATAATTAATAAATAAAATGTTAGTGAATAATGGTCTAATTTATATAAAAAATAAAACCTCAAGACACCAATTCTAGGAATACTGAACAGAAGAGATATAATCTATTTTTTTATCAATTGATTTTATTTTTATTGAAGATATTTTTTTTTTCAATTTATACACTGACAATTTTGAAGAACGATTTCATTCTCATAGCAAGATTAGCAAGATATATTATTTTTATTATTATTAATTGTATTAATAATATTGATATAACATTAAGTTTTAAATTTCAGGATAATTTTAAAATTTCATAATTTAGTTTTTATTTCTTCATATATATATATATATATATATATATATATATATATATATATATATATATATATATATATATATATATATATATATATATATATATATATATATGTATATATATATAAATAGAAAATAAACTTTATTCTGGGACGATATCCCCATGAAATAACAATAATGAACAGTTACAAAAGAAAAAATACACATCTGGCCAAAAACTAACTTAATCAAAATTCAAACGATGTATACAACAACTTAAATAATATATATATATATATATATATATATATATATATATATATATATATATATATATATATATATATATATATATATATATATATATGAAGAGTTTAGTACAAAATGGCACCACAAAAAGAAATATTTATAAATGGTACCTGTGGCCCATGGAGATGCAGTGTTCCTAACTAGATTCTTAGAAATTTCAGACTAATTAATTAACAAATTGTATAACCACGAAAATACCAGGGATTTTCAAAATGATTACTTAATTAACTCTAATAATAAATAATAAAAGAGATGCCTGTAAATTAAATATCGAGCTAGCAAATATGAAACAGGAAAAAAAAAATCCCATTGATTTCTATAACAAAATTTAAAAAAAATTATAACTATCGATTAACTATTTAAGAATTGAAATACCTAAGGAGGCATTATTGCTTACTGAATTTCTTGAAAAACTCGTTTTAAGTGAACTTTTAAAAGGTTTATAAGAACCGCTAAGGTCTTTTATGCGAACCAAAAAGCCATTAGATTTAAATCAGGCCATTAACATATTAACAAATTATTTACAATTTGTTTTTTATTTAAATCGTCCTATAATTAACTTTAGATCTAATAAACCGCACCATAACATCAGCAACGAATTATAGAATATGTGCCGACAAATCAAAATTACCAAAATCCAAAAACTAATAATTATAGCACTCCTTATAGACCTACCCAAACTGTCAATAGACCAACTAACTATAATCAAAATTAATACAGACCTTATCAATAACTATAACCTTATCAATCTAATCCTATGAGTGTCAATAGTAATTTTAGAGGAAACGCACCGTATCATAAACAACTGGATCTCAATACTAGATATAAATCTTTTCTAAACTCCCCAGTACGCAGAAATCCCAATCTTGAAATAAAAGAGTTTCATAACTTAAATTCGGAATAATTATGAAATATTTTAACAATTAATGAACAAACAGATGCTCAAGTGTCTAATGAGCCGACTATATCATTCCCGGATGATTATAAGGAACCATTACCATACTCGGATGATCCTAATATCTCACAAAATAATTTTAATTTTAAATAGACCCCAAACTACCACAAGAACCGCTCACGTAGAAAATAAGATTTCTCGTGTTAATATTCTAAATTTAACATGTTACAGTGGCCTTCCGTTCATTATGTTACAAACTCAAATTTGAAAATTCTTACTAACAAAGCTTGCACAAAATCACTCATTACACCCAAATAACAAATAAATACTTCAATAACAACATTAGTTATAAACCATTAAAAACTAATAAGCGCTCATGTATCTTCATTACAAAATAATAACAATATTGTCGAGTCATCAAAATTATTCCCTAATACTAATACCCTTCTTAAATTTGGTATTTTCAATTTTCACGAAAAATTTGATTTATTACTATGCATTGACAACCTTAAGTTGTTGGGAGTTAAAATTGATTTATTGCAAGATATAATAACAACACCATTTGGCAATCTCAATTCTTTTATGTAATAAACCTCCGCAATCCGAATACAACTATACAATAACTAACGATTCGGAAACCGTAATCAAAATTCCAATTAAAAATATGTTGTTTTTTTACTAACGATCTTTTAGACAAATTAGAAAAAAGTAATTATTTTTCAACAATAGATCTTATCTTTCAACTAGGTTATTTCATCAATTTTTTTTAGATAAAGAAAGTACCCTTAAAACAGCCTTTTTGACTGAAATTTTGGTTTATGAAGTTTTTAATTCCTATGAGTCGCTTTTGGTTTAAAAAATAGTCTCCCAACTTTTATAAGGGTAATTTTTTTTATTTGTTATTTATTTATTTATAATATAATAATCTGTCACCTAGTGAGATATCAACACATTCACACCATATATACAGAAAATATAAAATTAACAAAAGTAAAATAATAATCAAAAACTATGTACAATAAAAAATAAAATAACCTAAAGATAAGTAAATTGAAAACATAAAAACTCAGTCATGCCTATATACAATATATACAATCAGGAAGGGAACCCCAAGCAGACTGGTCCCTCCAATTATAGAGAGAAAAGCAGTACCCCAAGAGATCCCTGCGATACTCTCTCAACCGCGTCACTGGTGCTAAAGCGAAGTGGAAAATTCGAAACAGATGACAAACAGATGAGGCAGCTGGATTTTAAGTATGAAAAGAAATTCGGCGTGGTACACCCGGTCAAAAGCTTGAGCTATGTCCAGAAATGCATTCGAGCAATATTGCTTGCTTTCCAGTGCTACGGAAATATGATCGACTATTCGGAGTCCTTGTTGAACTGTAGAGTGTTGTGAACGAAATCCGAACTGATGGGATGGAAAATTTTGGGATTCTATAAAGGGTAGGATTCATTTCAGGAGTGTCTATTCAAAGATTTTTCAGAGGATTGGAAGTAGGCTAACTGTTCTATAGGACGTCGAGGTGTTGGGAGATTTGCGTGTTTTTGGAAATAGGATAATAGTGGAATATTTCCACAAAAGAGGAAAGTGGGTGGTTCTTAGAATGGTATTGAATAAGTATGTGAGAAATATAGCAGCTTTAGAAGGAAGTTATCGGAGTATTTGAGAGGTAAGGAGGCCGTATCCAGGAGATTTACGGAGAGGAATTTTTGTAGGTGATGTTTGATCTCAGAAGGATTAACTGCTTTAGGGACCAAGGAAAGTGGAATGGGTGATGTGAAGAATTCTTCTACTGTTGTGGTATTGGTTTGGTAGGATTCCGGATGAGAGGTGAATGTTCTGGAGAGGTGTCTGGTGAATTCCTCAGCTTTGTCTTCATCAGACGCTGCCCAGGAGCAATCGCATCGACGGAGGGGATGGGAAATGTGATGGGATTTCCGGACTTTGTTGGTGATCTTCCATAGGGAATTGATATGAGCAGAGAGGGAATTAAGGTAAGAGTTGAAGGATTGGGATTTGAAGGTGGCCAACTCCTGCTTTAATCGTTTACTGTAATAATTATAGAAGCGACGATCGGCGGGGTGTCTTGAATGTTCCAAATGTAAATACACCCCTTCAGCCTTTGTCATAAATCCTGTCCACCAGTTTATTTTAACAACATCCAGCTTCTTTTCTCAGATACAGCCCGTCTACCTTGGCTTTCTCATAGATAGAAGACTAACGTGGAATCCACATACTAGACTTAAAACTTAACCGACGATACGGGCAACTATACAGACTACTAAAAAGAAAATCTAAATTTTCTATTGAAAACAAGTTACTGATCTACAAGACAATAATGAAATCTATTTGGACTTGAACTATGGGCATACGGAACGGACAGCAAAATTTTCTAACATGAAAAGCATCCAATCCTTCCAATCAATACTCCTTCAACAATCGATCATGCTTCTTTCTATGTAACCAACAAAACCCTACTAACATCATTACCTCAAGATCTTATTTGTCCAAGATGTTATCCCCGAAAAACCAGAACTTTACGTCATCTACCAAACCCTCTTGCACAATCCCTATCAAGCACCGACCATCCCTATAATCCTCCAAGAAGGTTAATAGGCTGGTGCCCCGCGACCTTTTGTAGATTGCATATATTGGAGTTCTGGCATGGTCAGATTCTCCACTCAAGACATAAGTGTATGTGGCTAAAGCGCTCTCGATCAATCTCCGCTTTAGAAACAGCAATTCGGTTAAGAGAGTATCGCAGGGTTCTCTAAATATATATCTACTAAAGCTGAAGAATGAGATCTCCAAATATATGAAATAAAGGTCCCCAGGCGTATAATCTATGGTCCAGTATGTTCAGCAGAAGTTTGGAGTTTGAATTCATGATATAAAATTTTCGGGTTTCCTCAGAGTCTTCTTTGATGGAATATTGGTTGTAACAGAATTACTGAAAGAGGTGAATGGTGGAACTGTTTCTGATGTGTTGGCTGCAGTAGTTTTGCTGAGAGTGTTTAGTATAGATTTGTTATTTTTAAATATCTTTTTTGATTTGGTAGATTTTTTTCTTAGTAGGTGAGTCCCGAAGCAGAATTTTAAATATTGGGAATCAGTCACGCTTATTTCGGATAATGGGGTCTCTACCTTCTTTACCAGACGTAGTCTATAAATGATATAAATATTTGGTAGATATATATTATTAAAAAAAATAAAAAAGTATTGATTTGTTTCTAATGAATTTTAAATACAGGTCTTGGCAATAGAAAAAGAGAAAGAAAGAAAGTAAATTTTACTCTGGGACATTTAGTCCCCTCAGAATATCTACAATGAACAGAGAAATGACAATTGTCTGACGATTGTGAATAATTAAATAACAATTAAAAATAAATTAAGTTATAAATCTGTCTAATCTTGATATTAAAATAAAGAAGTATGTAATTTTTTCATAATAATAAAAATTCTTAATACTAAAAATAAAGACACTGCAATAAAGATATGATCTGAAGTAGACATATGAATTTAAAGATGATTACACACTGGTGAGTTAACCTATTTGTACAAATAAGCAATATGACACATACATAGACGTCTGCAAAATATCGGTGTAGTGTAACTGACATCTCTGAAGTACAAAATAACTTTATTTTACATATATTCGGAAGATTGATTACTGAGGAGGTGGAAAAATAAATTATGTTTAAATGGGATCAAGGATAAGGGTTTCCGTAAAGAGGTTGGTAGGAAATTCCAAAACCTCCTTAACTAATTTATTTAGACAAGGTAATTAATTTAGGCAATAGGCACTAATTTTAAATAAAAGATTTGTAAAATGCAAATGTTTGTATTTAAAAAAATAAGATTCATGGATAACCAAAAAATTGGTGATATTTCAGCTTATAACAATTGATTATAAATTTTTTCTAAATTACTTATTAATGGAAATACTGATGTATTACTAACGGTATTTTAACTTGTTGTGGTTAGTCGAGGTTGTTACAATTAAAGTTTGTGATAGTAAAATTAAATAACATTCTTTAAACTACAAGTGTTTTTTTTTTTCTAAATTAGATTTATATACTTAAAGATAGCATTCATATTATATTTTTAACACGTCACCTGCGGTTACGGTCACCGGATTCCGATATTCGTCTCGACTTCGGCCGGGATTGTTTCGGATTTTGATTATCTTAATATGTCTCTAAAAGGTCATTTTTAAAAATATTTGAATGGGAGTTGGATAGATGTAAAGATAGATATAAAAGTAAATAATCATTGTAATAGTAACCGCAGATAACGTGTTAAAATAGATTTAGTGAAGAGAGAGAAAGTATATATTTGGTTGTTTAAAATTATGTAAATTAAGTGGATCAGCTGATAAGGTTAGATGGGCGAGTGAGTTCAAGGGAGAGTGTTGTATGTGCCAGTATCTATCGTGGTAGTGACTTATCATTTTAGAAATTTTTTTTTTTATCTATCTGTTCATTGAGTAATAATACATTTTGCCACACTTAAGGGCACTGAGTAAATTTTAGAAATTAAGTCTTAAAATAAAACTTTTTCAATATTTTCCTATTATTATAGAAAAATAAATGCATGAAACCATCAGGAAAATTAATGATTGATTAGTGAAGGAGGTATTATTGGCGAAAGTTAAGGCATTATTCTATTTTAATGGTTACTGTCAAAACGTCGAATCTATTATTTGCTTGATTAAATTACTTTTTTTAAGCTGATTTGTCGATTTATTTAATAAAGAGTCTCTTATTAATAAAAGAGTTAGAAAACATAGAAGCAAATACTTACTCATGTCGTATTTACGACCAAATGAAATCGATATGTTTGCATAGTGATCACCTTGTTCGGTTTTATTTATTGCTTGTTCAGTCCAGCTTTCTTCCAACAACTTTTTAACTAAAACAAAAACAAATATTTAAGTTGTAGATAAAGGACATGTATACAATAAAGCTATTTGTGATGTTTTTTTTTACTAATTATCCGTAGTACTAAATTTTAAAACCATACTTTGTAATGTGGACTACTAATAATAGTTTTATTCAACATTCCACGACGTTTCGAGCTAGTTTGCTCAATCTCAATTCACCCACAACAACAATTAACAAACATAATTGACAACAATGATTACTCATTAAAAAAAAAAACCTGTACCACTACAACCCATGAAGGGTCTTGGGTTCAGTACTATTTAGGGAAAGTATTATTTCTTGCTCAACGGTTGTGCAAGGGTATGATTTGGCCGAGATCACGCTTAACCGCCAGGTTTTTCCTTTATTTAATTATTTAATTAAGGGTACCCACTTTATAGAGGCTGGGTATGCCCTAGGAGGATCTCCTGACCCCAGGTTCGATCCACGGCCAATGAAACAGAATCAATAATTTATCTAACATTAGCCGGATTCGAACCTGGAACTTTGAGCATTGGAAGCTTAGCGCCCTACTACTGAGCTATCCCAATCTCACATTAATAATATAAAACATGTTAATTTAAAAGAAATTTGAAAAAATAATCATGTTAATTTTTGTAGTCAACATTTTAATAAAATAAGGAATTATGGAATAATATTTGTGGAAAGATGAGCGATTCTGCTGCTTGCAATCTTTCCGTAATGGAAATTCTGAATATTTAAGTTCTGAAAAACTCTATTTCATAAATTCTTTTATAAATCTCTCTAGACGCTCAAGATATGCCCATTACAATACTTGATCAAGGACTCACTGATTAATAAAATATCTAACATTTTAATGTAATACTCATTTAAAAAAAAATATTAAATATGATTTAACGCAATACAAATAACTATTATTAGTATATATTTAGCAACTACAATAGTATATTTCAAGGATACTCAATGTTCTTATATATGGTGTCTTCAAGGAATATATAAGCCCTTATAGTTGAAAGATTTATTCAACAATCAACGACGTTTGCTCAATATCAAATCATTCACAACAACAATTAACAAACGTAATTGACAATAATGATTACTCATTATCTAGTGATATAAAAAGTGAGAATTTACAAAAAATTTTTATCTATGAAAACGTTTTTATATTATAATTTCATTAATTATCCATTTTTAGTACACCAAATACAAAAACCAACACTATTCCTTGTTGCATTTAAGGCAAATTTACTCTAAGCCTTTATTAATTTACTCTAATTCTACAAATAAAAAAATATGTGTGTGTGATTATTTCAGAAAATAAACAAATGTATATTATGGATTTATATTTTTGTTTTATTTAAGCTGCATGCTCACCCCGAAACTCGGTTCTACATATTCCCTCTATTGTTTAACATGGACTGAACATTTGAGCCCTTTAGAAATGCCTGTCTCTGTAGGATTTAACTAAATAAGTAAATGGGATATAGCTTTGTTGATTTTTATTATTTTCCAATGATCTGTCTAATTATAAACTAATCACATTTTATATATGGAAACAAAATTGGCCTATATTTTTAACATCGGATATAAAATGATGTGGATTTTATGTTTTTTACAATAGTTTTGTGTACTTTCATTCCTTTTTTTTTAATTTTGTGATGTTTCACTAATGTAATATTTGGGACATTGCATACCGAGAAATTTATATATAACATCCTTTTTATCTATCGAATTGAGTCTATCTTTCATATTGGATACGAGTCTTTCCAGTTTATTATTGTTATACAGGATGATGCAGGGTTTAGTGGGCAAACTGGATAAAAGGATAAAAGGCTATATAAGTATTCGATCTATTCCACCTCCTAAACAAAGCGTTTGCGGACATACCTTCACTTTGAACAACATTTAATATAGATGTTAATGTTTACATTTAATTAATAAAGTAGTTAGAACAAATAAATAGGTTTTATTTATTTCATATAACGCAAATAATTGATCAAAAAGAAAATCTTTAGGCGTGAATGTCTCCTAAACAAAGCGTGGTAACCAATTATGGTGCTGAAATATATCGATGACTTACTCATCATCATGAAAAATAGCAGTTACGAAAAACGGGTTTACCTATTAAATAAAGCCAATAAAAGGATCAAATTTACAATGAAAACAAATATAAACAATACTATAAGATATTTAGAAAATAATATCGAAATGCATAATAATCAAATTGAAACATATTGGAACATGAAAAAATAAATACAGGGAACTCATATTAAATTATCACTCAAACCACCCTAAATACCAGATTATAAATACTGCTGGTAATTTAATTTAAAAAACGATAAAATTAACGGATACTAAATGTATGAAGAAAGTCTAAAACAATATATATAATATTTTGGTAAATAATTTGTATCCGTATAAATATATGAAACAAATATGGTATAAATATATAAATAATAAAAATAATCGTAATACGGAAGATAGAAGCCGAAATAAAATACATAAAAATAATATGACTAAAAGAAATAAAAATTTTATAATGGATTGTTTTAAAGTGTTGGATAGCGAGGAAGATGCAAAGGATGACGTCCAAAGTGATACAGAAAAAAAGCACAAAATATAATAAACACCACAAAATAAAATAAATTACGGAATTGACGGAAAAAAATAAAAAGCGGTTTTAAAAAATACGACCATTATGACCTCAAGTTAGTGCTATTTAAAGATAATAAACTGGAAAGAGACAAATCCAATATGAAAGATAGAATCAATTCAATAGATAAAAAAGATGTTATTCATAAAATTCCCTGTATGCAAATGTATGCTGGTGAAACAACACAAAATTTTAAAAACAGGAAAAAAAAGCCAAAACTAATGTAAAATATAAAAAACATAAAATACGTAGGAGTGCCGGGGTGGGCGTGCAGTTTAAATAAAACAAGAATATAAATCAATAGTATAAATTTGTTTATTTTCTGAAATAATCGTTCACACATATTTTTTATTTAAAGAATGGACAAGTATTAGAGTAAGTGCGCATAAAATGAGACGAGGAATAGTGTTGTTTTTTGTATTTGGTGTACCAAAAATGGATAATTAATGAAATTATAATATAGACATTTTTGCATACATAAAAACGTTTGGTAAATTCTCACTTTTTATATCACTAGATAATGAGTTAGGAGTGGGGTAGCTCAGTGGTAGGGTACTGAGTTTCCAATGTTAAAGGTCCCAGTTTCGAATCCCGGCTCATGGCAGAAAAATTATTTATTCTGTTTCATTAGCCGTGGGGCGACCCTGGGTAGGTAGCCTCCTGGGGTAGACCCAGCCTCTATAAAGTGGGTACCCTTAATTAAAATAATTAATTAAGAGGAAAAACCTGGCGGTTGAGCTTGATCTCGGTCAAATCACCTTCTTGCACTACCCTAAACCAAAAAACAGTGCTTTCTCTAAATAGTACTGAACCCAAGACCCTTCATGGGTTGTAGTGGTAAAGGTTTTTTTTTTAATGAGTAATCATTGTTGTCAATAATGTTTGTTAATTGTAGTTGTGGATGAATTGAGATTGAGCAAACTAGCTCGAAACGTCGTTGAACGTTCAATAAAACTATTATTAGTAGTCCACATTACAAAGTATGATTTTAAAATTTAGTACTACGGATGATTAGTAAAAAAAAAGCATCACAAATAAGAATAAGTATTAAAATGACTTACGTGGGCGCTCCTTGAAGTGAGCACATGGCATTTCTACTCGGTCGCCCTATAATTTAAATAGTTCATTTTAGTTTAAACTTCTAATGATAAATAATCGAAGTAATCTTATAAACTTAAATGAAGCTGAGAATAAAATATTTCGTTACTACAACGGTGACAATTAATAACATACCTTCACAATGCATATTGGTGACAATCTTAGATTGTAATTTCTTGCCAAACATAGAGTATAGATTATAATATTCAGCAGGACAGTAATACATCTCATTCTCCTAAACAAAAATATTAATATCATGCATAGAAAATAAAATTGAATCGACAAATAACTATATTCAGGGACAATTTCCCTTAAAAAGATAAAGATTATTTCTGCCCTAAACACCCAAAATATTAAATAAACAAAAAGAGAAAACATTTATTCATCAAAAATATTTACAACAGATATCGAATGGTTGAAAAAAAATTGCTCCTAAAAAATACAATAAATTTACTCTAATAAGTAACCAAAATATCTTAAAAAAACAAAAGAAATAATAAATGAAAAACAATAACAAAAAAAATTACATATCTTACTTAAAAATATTAATATATATATATATATATATATATATATATATATATATATATATACATTGGTGCAAAAAAGTCTTCGAACAAACAAAGTATTTTTATCATCCTAATTGTAAATTGATTTAACCTACCAGACAGATTGTAGATGTTAAAGGTATTTAAATTAGCATTGTTTTTCATTAAAAACAACCCAATGGAGAAAAATTACACTGTGTTGACGTTAGTGTTGCCCAAATACAAGATGAAGACGGATCTTCGTCTTGCGCACTTAGTCTTGGTCTTGCGCAGTAGTCTCGGAATCTATCTTTACTGGGTTTTAGTTAAAGATAATATGAAGGTGATTAAAAAGCAAAGAAATTAAGGATGAATGTTTTGATAAAAAGAGGAGAGGAAAGGTTTTTTTTTTTGAGATTTGGAGGAATAAAGGAAATAAAATAAAACATTTTATATTTAATAAAACAATTACTACTATTGAGTAGTATTCGATATACATTAAATGTTTAGAAATAATGTCTTTATGTTATTAATGTTTTGTTTTGTAATGAGAAACTTTTTTTTTTTTTTAAATGGCTTGTGGAGCCAAAACGTTAAATAATAATTTTTAAATGGAAATTAAAAAGCTGTGAGATTAAAAAGGGTTTTTGATAAATACGTAATCATATATAGATTTAAATAATAATTAATTTTCATATAATTTAATCAAACAAATAAAGAGAAAAAGGGAGTTTTATTCTGGAACATTTAGTCCCCTCAGAATAACTATAATGAACAACGAAATGACAATTGTCCGGCATTAGAATACAATTACGAATAAATTAATTTACAAAGTTGTCTAACCCTAATATTAAAATAAAGAAAAGACACTTTTGTAGATATATGAGCTTGAAATATACATATAAATTTAAAGATAAATACATAGGAATGAGTTCACGTATTTGTACAAATGAGCAATATGACACATACATAGACATCTGCCAGATATCAGTAAAATGGATCTGAAATCTCTAAAGTACAAAATAACTTTATTTTTACATGTTTTCGGAAGATTGATTACTGAGGTGATGATAAAATAAATGGTGTTTAAATGAGGTCAAGGATGATGATTTCAGTATAGAGATTGGCAGGGAATTCCAAATGCGTAGGAGGAATTAATATTCTGAAGTATTTTGTGTGTTTTATTTTATTCTTTTAGTAAGTAAGTAATGGAAGTTCTTTTTTTTTTTTATATGTCAGTTAGTAGTAATGTGGAGGGGGGACGTTCCTCCAGATACAGAGAACGTTGAGAAAGAAGTAATTACTATTTCTATTGATTATAAATCAGCTAAAACTGCAGCAGAAAGAAACAGTAATACTGAATTTAATTCGGATAAAATAATACCTCAATGAAATACCTAAACTTAGAAAAGAGTAAGTTAAAAACGGAAAAAGACCATAAATCGAGATTTTTAGAACAATATTTTGTATATATTGATAGTAGTTCTAAGGAAGAAGTGGGAATTTCATTCAATATGTATTGGGAAACTCTTACATAAATCGTGCCCTGAAATATATAATATTTTAAATAGGTTGAGATAGAGTTTAAGTAGAAACTCTGCAAATATGTCAGAAAGTTTGAAAATGAAGCAAATTAAAGTTACATTTCAATAGACTTGCATTCCAAGTTTCACATTAGGAAAAAAAAAGAGAGTCATAAAGGAAAATGTGGTCTTAGACTTAACGGAATTATAAATCCTTGATAATTTGAAAAATATATATTATGAAGCTCAAAAAATGATTAACGTTGACGTTTAAAAACACATTATTAATAAATAAACTAATGCTATTGAATTTAAACCTACTCGATCAGTTCAAATTACGTTAAGAGGTCAACTCCTGCCTCGATATATCACGATACATCGTGTATTCACCTTCACCAAGGTATACCTTGTATTCAATCAAAAGAAAGGAATACCTATAGCACCTTAGGCTTGGACATTCCAATAGGAGAGGACTACAAATGTTGAGACTACCAAAAAATGAAAAGGTGTGTGGCTCATGCAAAGAAGCTGAAGCTATGAGGATACCCTTGATATAGAGTCTCCTCGTTCACGAAAAGGAGAGCTCCAGCACTGCGATGTCTGGGATCCTACAAAGGAAACAACACTTTCAGGTGAGAAGTGTACCTCTCAATTACTGACAACGACTCTCACTTTATGGGACGAGGCAATTGATTTTAGATATTTAAGAGGTGTTGTCAGTCTATTTTACGATATTATAACAAGTATATATTGAGAATTGAAAAAGTGAAACCTCGGCGGACTCTTACTTCAACAGTTTGAAGATTTGAGTTTAATTTAATTGGTTCAGAATATACGGATTTGTGGATAGCTATTTAAACTCCGTGATGAATGTGGTTTGTGTTTGGATCTTTTCTGTATATATCAAAACATTTTAGTTTGTTTTGTGTCTGACAAATAATAGTTTAAAAGTTTGTATAAATTAATATTTGAGGGCGTATGTTGGAAATATGTGAATACACCAGAAATACAACAGCTCCCTCTGTTGTGTACATATAAAAAGTAACCTTCCGTATTCTTAGATTAGTAATAAAGTGATGTCCCATGTGTAAGACACTCGCGTTTGCTACTATATTTAACCCAAATTCTTAAAAGGTTTAACATCCAATAATGAAAAGTTATCGACGATGAGATAAAAAATATGAGAACACGAACAGAACTCAAAATTTATCCATTACAATATAGTTGCGCGAACACATAATTGATATTAAATGAAATCATTATCGTATCACTTAAATATATAAATATTAACATATAAAACATACGAATATGATTGAACCATGAAAATTATTACAGTAGAATGCCAGATCTGATAAATCAAACAATAATAATTTGAAAATATTTTTTATTTTCAGAAAAATCTATATTGCTTTTATCTCCAAAAGTTGGTTCAAACCAATAAATATGACAACTTCCCAGATTATGATATCGTTAGATCTGATAGAAATGACGGTTATGGAGGAGTATCACCTTAAAGAAATTTTCAATATTCATAGAATTCCTAATATTGATGATACAGTCGCTGTAAGTAAGTATAATATCAATATAAAAAAGATACAAATTAAATGTTTTGTAATTCTATAAAGGGGGAATAAGTGATCGCGTCCGGTATATATATTACCATGTGCCCTCTGGGAAATTCGTAAACTTTAAATCTTTTGAATTTCACAGGCTGGCACAGGGTGTGTATCACAATACGTCAAATGCGAAACTTTACTAAGGATCAAATATATATTTATTTGTTTGTTCATTAAATTATAGAAAAGAGTCTGACATAACTATAGATAGTTATAATGATGGAAAATAAATAAACATGTAATGGTATGTGTCCAAAAAAGTAAATATATATCACCAAGGAAGTTATATTTGCCAACCTCGTTAGTAACAAAGATTTTCCTTCTCCCTCAAGAGTAAAGTCTAGCTGAGTTATCGTAGCTTTAATGACTCATTAATCATACCTGCCACAAGATCGATTCGAAATCAAATTAATCGCTAACGTGAAATATTTTAAACCTAACTAATATTTCATGGTCTAGTCCTAAACGCGGGGCGAGGTCTAACAGTACGAAACCATTGCCGAATTTGCTGCCAGCTGGACTAGACACAATAAACTTTTCCGAATGAATTTTGATTCCTTCCAGCAAGGAATTTGGATTAATATAGTTTCTTTCGGAGCCATTTACTGCCTAATTCGTCTGTGAATGTAGTCAGTCCGTTTATAAGTTTTAGGAAATTTCTGGGACAGGCTCCGGTCTACCAGAGCATAAAAAATGATTCAATGTTTGCTCTAATTCTGCAACTCTTTCTTTTCATCTTCCATTTGATGAACATTATTACTGGGAACATTTCTCATTGACACGGTGTTTTGTAAATGAGGGATAAACTGTTACGAAGGCAATGGTGTTTTAGCTTGTTGCCAATTAGAATATTGCGGCTGATTTTGTTGATGTGATGGGTCATCATCTGATGTTCGCAATTATATTACCGATTTCGCTCTTCATATTGTGTTTTTTTTTTGCTTGATGTGTCTGTTACCATCATAGTGATTTTTAAAACTCGGAGTATTGTGATTATAATTTTGATGACTATTATTATTATATCTAGGAGGACCGTTATTATGACTATTGTGTATTGATTGTTTTCGAATTTTTTTTGGCTGTAGGGGTATAAATCATCCATTATTATTCGGCAATGATCATAAATGCTATTTTTCATGTCAATCAAATCGGGAATAATAACGTGATTAAAAGAATATTTAAGCCTGGTGTGTAGATTTCTTAGAACATGATCTATTAGCTGTCCCTTTTCTGCTTTTATTTCCTGGTTTTTGTACTACCATTGTCAACCATAATTAGATTGTGAATGAGGATTTTGTATGATAAATCTCTAATCTTTGTATGTAGTCAAAAGGATGTTCGCTTTTGTACATTCTGATTTGTGATACATTGTGTTGTAAGTGTGATGTCGTACATGAATCTCTGAAGTTGTTAATTAAATGTGTGTTTAACTGGTCAATGGATGTAAAGCCTTTGTACATACACATTTGTTGTGCGTCACCGAGTCGTGATAACGCGATTTGAATAATTCTATTTTCGTTTTGAGCTTCATTAGTAATAGATTCATCGCAAACGTCATTGTAAATAATGTT